TTTCCTATGCCTATTTTGGGGGAGATTTAGGTGGTATTATGCAGACAATTTTGGTTCTGCCCTTTTCACCGATATAAGGTGATCTGTTGTTATTAGTAGCAAGAACTCCTTACAAGCATGATTTTTAAATGCTTTCTTGTGCGCCCACAACAGATGCATGATGTCCCCTCAACCATTTCCCTACAGTCCCAGCCCCTCAGACTGTTTTTGCTACACTGTGCTCTCTGCTTTGTCTGTTTGTAGATCATTCCCTTAGAACGGATTCCTAGATACAAAATCCCTGATTCGGCTTTACAGCTCTTACTACATCCTGTCACATCGATTTCTAAAAAGTTTATGGCAATTTATTCTTCCACATAACAACATGAGTGCTGTCACCCGCGACGGGTAGACTAATAAAAAAAAAAAAAGCATTTGCTAATTTGAAAATAAAAACTGGCACCTCGTCATCTCTTTTTCTTCTTACCCTTTGCCCATTTATACATCAAGCACATCAGCGCGTCTCTTAAGAATTTCCGAGCTCTGGCGTTACCGTGGTTGGAATCCACTTTCCAGCTCTCTGACTGTGGGCAAGTGGCCTAACCTCTCTGTGCCTCGGTTTCCTCATCTGTAACATGGGGATGGCAACAGAAGCCACGTTATAGGCTTCCTGCGAGGATTAGATGGGATTGTGCAGTGCCCGGCAGATACACCCTTGGTTACTCTCAGTAAGGACACGGGCCTTGGCTGTGTTTGCTGCAAACATTGTTTGCTCTTTTGCCGTGTAGTGTTTGGTTGTATTGTAGAAATTCTTCTGAGAGAGAACGTTTTCATTTAAGAAAGTGAAGCAAGAAACAAAGCTTGGGTTTCCGAACGGGGGGGGGGGGGGGGGGGGGGCTTGTGGACAGAAGATGGTCCTGGCCTCGTGTCAAGGGCCATGCAGGACCTGATGACAGATGGAGGGTTCAAAACGCCAACACAGGGGCTCCTGGGGGCTTAGTCGGTTGAGCATCCAACTTCCGCTCAGGTCATGATCTCACGGTTCGCAGGTTTGAGCCCTGTGTTGGGCTCTGTGCTGAGCGGAGCCTGCTTGGGATTCTCTCTCTCCCTCTCTCTCTGTCCCTCCCCGACTCATGCTCGCTCTCTCTCTCTCTCTCTCTCTCTCGTTTTTTAAAAAGCCAACACGATCAGGCCAGCCGATCTGGAACCCCCGGCAGCATCACCTAAGTGACCTAAAGATGCCATGCCCAGGTGCTGCCTCAAGCCTCTCATTCTGTAGGTGTGGGCTGGCATCCAGGTCTCTCTATAAATAATGACAGGTGACTCTGTCGCTGGCCAGGTTTCACTGTATGAGGCTGACAGGCCATCCAGTTTGGGGAGTCCCTTGCAGGACACCAAAGTGACATCCCAACATCCACGTCTCCTCAATTACTTGATGTGAAACTCTCTACGTCATCCTTGGGACTCCTCGTAAGTGACCTCTCCTGCCCCATCTCATGGGGGTGGGGAGATCCAATCAGGATAATCTCGAGGAAACAGCGGATGAAGTCTTCAACCATCTGTGCCCGAAGGCTGATTCTACCTCTGCAGCCTTTGCTTTTAGTTCTCTGATGAGCGTCTATTATCATTAAGCCCGGTTTGAGTTGGGTTCCTGCTGGAACACAGCACCTTTGTCACTCCTGGATGGTGGAGTCCCCGTGCTTATATTTGGCCTGCCTGGAAAGAGGAACTTTCTCTGACTCCTGTGCTTACTGCTGTCCCTGGCCCGTCATCGCCACCCAGACCCACTCCTCCCGGGAAGGACTCGGCCCCGGCCGCCCTGCCCACTCCCACCACCACCTGAAGCCCTCTGGGAAAGCTCCAGGGGCACCAGCCACGCAGGGGACTCCAGCCCATTATGCTGATCTGAAAACGCAAACACACGTGGCCTATGGAGTCACCACATTCAGACGCCCCCTCTGTGGGGCACCCACTTCTCCTTTTCCTCCTCTGAGATGAATTTTTACAGCAACCCGGCTGGCACACTTAGACCCATCTATCTTAATGTAATTCCTGGGCTCACGATAGCCTTTTACGTGGACTCTACTCCAAGTGTTTGCTTTTCGGCGGGGGGAGTTTGGGGGGCAAGGTCAGCAAAGAAACCGTCCTGGTGACCAAGGAGCAAACGCCTCCCAAATGCTAGGGCAGGAGGGACGTCAGCTCTGGAGGGCAAGCACCAAGGAAAGCACACACGATAGGAAGCCCTTCACGACAGGAGCTGGTGGCACCGGCCGATGACCACGTCTAAGAAGGAAGAAGGACGGTGGTCCAGGAGACGCCAAGTCCAGCAAGACTTGGAGGAGAGAACAGACCCACCGGAAGCTGCCCCTTGGTCCCACGTTCAAACCACAGCGCACGTTTTTAAAGAGAATACAAACAGCTGGCATGCTCCGAGTTCCTTTCCAAGAGCAGGGAGAGAAGGAGGTTTGCCCAGAGGAGTGCGGGGCAACAAGGACAATTTGCTCATGCTTGTGACCCTTCCACACGGGACCCTGCACTTCCCCAAGGCTCAGAAACCCCCTGGACTCCAGGGATGGCTTCTGGCCAAAATTAAGATTCGCCCGAGACAACATGGGTTCTTTTAGAACAACCCCTCCAAGGTTGAAGCTTTTCAACGGACAAGGTGGAAAAACCGTCTGTTGGAAAATGCACGGACCTATGAGGCTATAAGTGACTCTAATATTCCAGTGGTACAACCCAGCAGCTAGGAAACACCTCATGGAGACTCTGCCTTTTTTTAATCTAAGCAGCTAAAGGAGACTTTCTGAGCCCCAAGAGTAGCCTTGGAAATGCACTGGGTGGGTCAGTGTTCCAGCAGCCCAACCCCCGTCCCCCCATTAGCACGTGACCCCCAGTAAGCGGCCCAGGGTGGCTGTGGAGGGCTCAGCCCTCCTTCGGGTCTTTGTGACATAATAACACCAACACGGCATCCATGCCTCTCAACGCCAGCCATTCCTAGAATCCCAGAGCTCAGAGGTTACCCGGAATCTAAAACCTGTTCCAAAATGGCAAATATATTTGCATATCAGAGGTTAAAAGCAATGTCAGAGGAAGTGCTTTGCAAACAGAAGTGCAGAAACCCTTCCTGCTCCCAATTTCCACGGAGGCTTCAATCTGGCCGGGCGGCTGGCCCTCTCCGCCCGGGCCAGGCACACACTGCAGACGTGTCCGCCAACCAGGTGTAGCTTTGCGTCCTCGCGAAAGGGATGGGCCCAGCACATGCTCCGAGGCGGTCCCACGTTTTTCTTCCTGACTAGTTTATCAAGGAGGCACTCCGATGAGCCAGACAACGGGGGACACGCTTCCATCTGCAGCCTTCATTTATTATTTAAACCCAAGAACCAGCATCGGCTGTGTCAACCTATTGGAGCCTCTGTCTCTGGGTCTCTCTCTGTCACACACACACACGCACACACACACACGCGCGCGCGCGAAGGAGACTTACATCACAACTACATCCTACAGAAGATGATTCAACCAGTCTCTGCATTTTTGTGAGGTTACAAATCAAGTTAACCCACGAAAGCCCAGCGGGCCCCACTCTCCATCCTTCTGGATACACACGCACCCAAGGTTTCTTCCAAGCCGGGCTCTGATTGGTCAACAATAATTTAAATACATCTTTCAGCAAATGAAACGAGACCAGCACAAGGCACCTTGAAGAGGGTAAGTCACCTTCTCCATTTTCCTTGGCTCTTGGGTCTGTTTCCACCACAGTGCCTCTCCTTCTGGATTTCCATCACTCCACCAGCCTTGAGAAGCACTAAGGAGGCCACGAGTAAACTCGAGCTCAAAAGCACCCTGGGAAGCTTAGGCATGACCAGGAGAAGGGCTCCCAGTGGCCACGTCGCCATGGGCTCGGTCTCCTTTGCAGGAAGAGCAAGTGTCTGGCCGGCCCAGTGGGGGGGGGGGGCACCACATATCCACGCCTCCCACCTGCGTGGACACTTCCAGTGCAGGTGACACTGGGCTCGGGGTTAGCCTGGAAGAATGCCTTCCCAAGAAACGTCAACTCCCAAGGAGGACCGCTTGAGCGAACCGAACCCCTTAACGGTAATTTTTCCAAGGTACGGCAGCCTCTTTTATCATCAATATTTCCAAAGAGTAACACATTCCTCTGCACAACAAGATGCAAAGTAACACCTGAACGCGCAAAACGCAGGGAGCTCGGAAGCGCCGGTGGCCCGGACACGTGACGCGCACCAAGACGCTAACTCCAGCAAGGGCTCGGAAACCAAGGGCGCTCGTGTCTAGTGGGATTCTTCGAGTGAAGAGAGTTCCCTCCTTTCTTTAAAAATTAAATATAATTTATCGTCAAACTGGTTTCCATACAACACCCAGTGCTCATCCCAACAGGTGCCCTCCTCTCACACCTACTGGGAAAAGCCCGCTCTCAAAGCACCTGGATTTAAAATTTTCCTCTTCCTACGGTCAACGCCAGCTTCCCCTCTCGCTCACACTTAGCCTTTGAAGGCCAGTCATCGGACGGGCAGCGTTACTGCAACGCTCGAGTCAGTGATCTCTCAGCCACCAGCGTTACAGACCTCACGTGAGCAAGGGCCGCGGCACAGCACTTTCCTTCCTGCCCCTGTGGTACGAGAATGGGTGACGGCCCCTCCTGGCGTTTCTCTGTTCAGCGATAACAGAAGCGCACGTAGATCCACGCGTGTCCCCAACATCATGGCAGCCACGTGTCTCTCTTCCTTCTACGTTCCACCTGAAGACCGGTGGCCAACGCCCACAAACATTTCTACCTTCCAAAGAGCTACAGCCGAGGCCTGAAAGACGCTCCGAACACACACCAGCCCACAGGAAGTGGCATCCACAATGGATGGAGATAAGCACACGACACGAGTCCGGAGCAGCCTCCACGAGTACCCCTAGGTCTGGCCCAACGGCCGTGCTGCTTAGACCACGGGCCCCGGCCGCAAGAGAGTCAGCGCTCTCCCCAAGCGGAAGGATACAAACACCGGTGTCCCTACCTCAATCAGGAAGTCCCCCGTCCTCAGTCCGGCTTGCCACGCCACCCCTCCTTCATCCACAGACTCCAGGTACTGCAGGGCTGGGAACGCTGGCGTTGGTGTGAATTCCTCGATGGGCGTATCCGCTGGGAAGACAAGGGAGACCTCAATACCAGCCTGGGTGGTGTTTCCAGGTTGGCCCCGCGTGGGACCCTGAGAGGAAGGAGGTGCACACGTCTCCCGCCGGAAGTGGGTGCTCTCCCCTGGGGAGGGCTCGACAGCCACGGCCATAGGTCGGCACCAACTCAAGCAGTGAAACCAACTGCCCCGTGGTGCCCCCGGATCTCTCGGCCTTTCTGCCGAAAACACTTGCCGTACATGTCTGCAGGTACACGCCTGTCATTTTCTTTAAAAGCATCAGTGACTAAACATTTTCAGTTCTAAAAATGGAAAAGTTCCCCCCATAACCACACAGAGCTACAGAAACACCACACTGAACCACTTGCCAAATTCACATCCACAGAGACGCGCGGACCAAAGGAATTCAACTTGGAGCACGGACAGATCACAGCGCTGACCCAGTGGGTGGCTGCATGTGGGATCTGCTTGGGAATTCGTTCCGCGGGGAGCCCGGCTCTCTGCGACCACTCTGCGGCCGGCACCCATGGGAAGGCCGGGCCCCCGCTCCTCGGCAGCGCGAGCCGCGGCTTCTGGGCCCCACACAGCTGCCGAACAAAAACTCCAGGGCAAGAGACGGGCTTCCCTGGGTGGTTACGAGTGGCTGGGGTGGGTGGGTGGCAAGAGGAAGACGACCCCGGCAGGGGGAGGGGACAGAACATCACTCAGCCGTGGACACGCACACACGGGGACAGATCTGTCTCTTCTTCCTCTCTCTGGACAGATCGCTCCCAGGCAGCCCAAGCTTAGAGCAGGTGGGGGTGCTCCCGGGGAAGGAGGCCTTTCCCAGCACAGGTGCAGGACCCCAGCACAGCACGGAGGCTCCGAGATGAAACTTCCACATGGCTTCTCACCCCACACGCGCGGTGGGCAGCTGTCTCCCCTCATGGGGAGGTGATGCCATTTTGTTTTCTTTTTAGAGGGAAGCCCCCAGGTTCAGGGCTGGTGGTGGGCGCGCTGCCGTGGAATGTCGCCCCGGAACCCCCCACCACAGGCCACGTGATGCGGATGCTGCTGGCTCAGTCCGCGGCAGAGGGGACCATCTTGCCACGTTTCCTTTGCAAAGTCACCTTAGAGGCGGGCACACGGATGCCTGCTACACTGGGAACCGAAGCCCACTCCCAGAATGGGGCAGTTTCTAGACACCCCAAACTCAGCACCGGGTAATTGTGGACATCTGAGAACAGGAGCTCCACATCCAGCCACAGCCGGGCTGAACTACACCATAAAATGTAGCTTGAACCCCTGATTTCTTATTAAAAAGAGAAAGGGTGGG